ATAAGTACACCCGGTTGATTGTCTGCATATGTTGTGAATATTTGTGATTTTTTTGTAGGAATTGTTGTATTTCTTTCTATTAATTTCGTCATTACTCCTCCAGCTGTTTCTAGACCAAGAGAAAGAGGAGCAACATCAAGCAACAAAAGATCTTGTACTTGTGAACTATTTACTCCTTTTAATATAGCTGCCTGTACAGCTGCACCATATGCAACAGCTTCATCAGGATTTATAGAACGACAAGGTTCTTTTCCATTAAAAAATTCTTGTATAAGTTGTTGTATCTTCGGTATTCTTGTTGATCCTCCCACCAATACAACTTCATGTACACTTCGCTTATCTATACCACTATCTTTTAGTACTTTCTCTACAGGTACAAGTGAGTTTCTGAAGTAATCCATACAAAGTTCTTCGAATCTAGCACGAGAAAGAGAAACAGAGTAATCAATACCCTCAAAAAGTGAATCTATTTCTATAGTAGCTTGTGTACTACTAGATAAAGTTCTTTTCGCTCTTTCACATTGTGTTCTTAATCTTCTCAATGCTCTGCTGTTTGTACTCGGATCCTTACTTCTATTCTTTCTCTTAAAATCCTGAACACAGNTCTTCTCAATGCTCTGCTGTTTGTACTCGGATCCTTACTTCTATTCTTTCTCTTAAAATCCTGAACACAGAAATCTACAAGTCTATTGTCGAAATCTTCTCCCCCTAAATGTGTATCTCCTGCTGTAGCTTTCACCTCAAAGATACCGTCTTCTATAGTAAGCAAAGAAACGTCAAAAGTACCTCCCCCCATATCGAAAATAAGTACATTCATCTCTCCATGTCCTTTTTTATCTAAACCATAAGCAATAGCTGCTGCTGTAGGTTCATTTATAATACGTAATACGTTCAGCCCCGCTATAGTACCTGCATCTTTTGTTGCTTGTCTTTGTGAATCATTGAAATATGCAGGAACTGTAATTACAGCTTCTTTGACTTCTTTTCCTATAAAAGCTTCAGCTATCTCTTTCATCTTCATTAATACCATTGCTGATATTTCTTCTGGGTGAAATGTTTTTTTTGTTCCTTGATAGTTTACTTCTATAAGTGGTTTACCTCCTGGTCCTGCTTTCACAGTAAAAGGCCAGTGTTTCATATCTGCCTGTACAGCTGGATCGTCAAACTTTCTTCCTATTAATCTTTTTGCATCAAATACTGTATTTTCTGGGTTTCTTGCTACTTGGTTTTTTGCTGCATCTCCTACAAGTCTCTCTGTATCGGTGAATGCAACATAAGAAGGTGTTGTTCTGTTTCCTTGATCGTTCGCTATTATCTCTACACCATCGTTTTTCCATACCCCCACGCAAGAATACGTGGTTCCTAGATCAATACCAACTGCTGGAGCTTCAGCCATTGTGGTGGTGATGAAAAGAAAGAAAGAAAAAAAAAGAATATGCTAAGAAAGCAGAAAAAAAAAAAANAAAAAAAAAAAACTTTATACACCCCAAAAACAACAAAGAAAGCACACAATACAACAACACACACAACACAACTAAACCAATAAACCCTACCTACGCACACAACCAGTGGGGAGAAGATGCTGCAACCTTGCGGGCAGCAACAAACAAGCAAAAGAGAAAAATATTATAAAAGAAAAGAACAGTTCAATACAAAACAACCCAAACAGGAACTGTACAGAAGAAATAAGTGTACACCCCAAAATACAAACACCTCTTAAACCTCTCTCAACCTGCACCTGCAACGAGACCTACCCTCCCTGGCGCCCCGCAGCAGCCAGCACGGAGGGGATGCTGCTGCTGCTGCTGCTGCTGCTGCTGCTGCTGCAGCAGCACGTTGTGCTCCCTCCCCACGCAGCTGCTGCTGCACCTGCTTACCTTCGCCTTGCTTTGAGCTGAATCAAAGACATTTTTAGTGCTCTATTATCTTTTTATTAATTATTTAATTGTTTTATTTTATATTTTCTTTTTTTTCCCGAAATTTCTTAGCCACATCACCCCCCCATACACCACACACCTAGAGACGCACGCGGGGCTGCCCGTGGTTGCGGCACTTGTACTGCTGCTTTTTGCATTGAAATTAAAAAAAAATTTATTTATTTCTTGCATTTCTGTTTTTACATATAAAGTGCATTCTATTGTAGCAGTTTAAAGGAAAAAACATGCTAGCGAGATCAGCCCCCCCACCGTATACATGTACAGGGGTGTGTGGTTGTGTTGTGTGGGTTTCTTGGGGTGTCTGTACACCCCAAATAGGAAACAAGGCGTGTCAGTGCATATGTAATTCCTTTCTTTCTACTTAAATAAACTCTCTTTACCTCACCATACACCCGAAACCTGAAACCATACACCCATACCCTCTCTATACGCCGCTGTGTGCCTCTACGGTGTACAGACACCGCAGCACCCCGCAGTGTATGATGAGCTTGCAGCACGCATATGTACTTGTATGAAGGCTGTTTATAAGCAGCCAGATAAGCGTTAAACATTTGTCTATTCAGTGGGGGGTTGAGGGGGCCTGCTTGTGCATGCAGCATCACCAGCAGCAGCAGCAGCAGCAGCGAGAGCAGTTGCAGCTCATCTATGCTGCCGCTTTCCCCCTGCTTTCAGGCCCCTCGCCTGCTGGGCTCGAGCCGCCTGGGTGGTGCTGAGGAGAAGAGCTGTTTGTAGGGGGCTCTTCTCTATCACGAGCTGCAACGGTCTTGCTTGCTTATATACAGAGTTTCCTTTACATACAAAAAAAAAAAAAAAAAAAAAAAAAAAAAAAAAAAAAAAAAAAAAACAGCAAGTCTCTGGCGTCGTATCATATTCACTTTTCTGCTGTAGATGTCCTCTAGAGGACCCTAGAAGAGATCAGCAGCAAAGGGTTTAGGGTTTAGGGTTTAGGGTGAGCAGCAGCAGCAGCCCCATAACAATGCTGCAGCATAGTAGAAGCTATGAGCTGCATGCAGCCCGTCTCCTGCTTATGTTTGTATCCCCCTAGACAGTGTCTATAGGCAGCAAGCAGCAGCAGCAGCAGCAAGTATAAGCAACAGCAGCAGCAGCAGCAGCAGAAACTTCACACAGGCAATGCTA